TGAGGCACCAGCCGTCAGGTACCCAGCTGGGAAGAACCCGAACCAGGAGGGGGACGCAGGCTGCTTCGCCCAGGCCACTTGCTCTTCCCACTCCTCCACCTCTGGTCTGCACGCAGGCCACGTTCCACAGTGACTGCAATGTGGCCTGTGAGACAGGCCCAGGCAAACCCCGCCCTTGGCCTCCTGGCACATCCAAAAGCTGGGCCAGAACCGTTACAACCAACATCTGGCAAAGTGCTGACAAAGGTTAGCCCGTTTCACAGGAGAATATATCTAGATGGGAGACAGAGGTGTAACATGACGTCACCCTCCTCTTCAAACTGGGGGGCCCTGTGGACCAGCCTACCCTGCAGCAGGATCTGTGGTCACCAGGGGCTCCACCCTGCACAGTGTGCAGAAACATTTCAGGATACCATATCAATACACATGCATACACATGTGCTTGCATGCTCCTACATACATGCACGATCACTCGGTTGCATCATACATGCAGGCTGAAAGCTCACATAGAGAGATGGCTCCACATGGGTGGGCACATCACACATGCACACACACAGACACACATACAGAGCTTAACATGTACATACAAGCACACATGAGAATCACCTGGAATTGCCCTGTCTATTGCCTTCACTACTCCTCAGGTGGGTGGGCACATCACACATGCACACACACAGACACACATACAGAGCTTAACAGGTACATACAAGCACACGTGAGAATCACCTGGAATTGCCCTATTGCCTTCACTACTCCTCAGATCATGTGATATCACCATGAGATCACATCAGATGAGAGCCAGGACAGGGAGATGGGAGCTGTGTGGCACCTCCCGGCACACACATCACTCCCCACGCTTCCTGATGTTCAGACAGGATTTCAGTAATACTGTCTTCTTTCAGGAATACTGTCTTCTTCCTTTCACAGATTACCATGCAGCACCTGTCCGGGTGCTCACGGGACACCTCGGTCCAGGTGCTCACGGGACACCTCCATCAGTCTCACGCCGCTTCAAAGTGACAGGTGCTGTCCTTGTCAGTTTTCAGGAAGGACAGCAGGTGCTGAGACGCATCCTGGCCCAGCTAAACCATCAACCCTGGAGGCAGAGCCAGTCCACAGCACAGGCCTCTCAGATGTGCAGACTTCCCTGGGGGTGCAGCAATCTCACCACCAAAGAATGTCCCCCACAAATCATCATCAGAGTTCCCATACCACAGGCCAAGGCCTGTTTGGTCTGCAACATGTCTGGCTTGCGCAGTGCCAGGCCCCATCTCCTGTCCAGACAGACGGAAGGGGAAGGGACACCAGAGAGAGATTTAAAGAAGCTTGGGGAGCCCTACTTGTCCTCCTTCTGTTGCTGTAGGATCACCACGGCCAGGGGCTGGGGGCCTACCAACCTGAAAAGAAGGAGAGCTTTCCGATAAATGGAAAGCTGCCCAGGGTGAACCCCCTTGGATGAGTCTGGAATGTCTTGCCAGGAAGGAGGGACAAAAGCAAGATTAAAACCACAAGTGGATGACACCCCCAGGGGTCTGTGTTATAAAGCAAAGGGCAGGAGCCAGCCCACCAGAAAACCCAGGGGAGCTATCCTTCCAGGCCATTCCAAGGGGGGACCCAGCATATCCCAGGTGGCCTTGGGGCAAAAAGAAAGATGCCCGATATAGGGAGAGAATCAGGAAGCCTTTGACTCCCTCCCCAGAGCATCTCCCAGGCAGAGTAAAAAGTAAAAGCCTGTGGTGCAGGCAAGTTCCACTGACTGTGAAGGGCCTCGGTGCTCCAGAAGGAGATGGGGAGACGGACACCCGCAAAGAGCACCTGCAGAAGCCACGGAGCTCCAAAAGAGCGCAGAGGAGGGTAGAGTGAGGGGAAGAGGATGGAGGCAGAAGAAGGAGGGTGAGCAGAGGGAGTGAAGGGGAGGGAGGGGAGGGAAGGAGCGAGGGAGGCAGCCAGGAGGGGCTGGGAAAAGAACTTAAACATTGCACTGGCCAAACAGAACGCCTCATCTGTCCCCCAGGGCCCTGCCTGGACTAGGCCCCCAGGCCAGGATTGCAGCCCAGGGTACTTGGTCCCCCAGGAGAAAGCTAAGAAATGGATGTGAAATCAAAGAACAGAAGGCTTGGGCCAGTGCCAGGCAGGAGGGTAGCCACTCACTTAGGGCTTTGGCTGGGTGGTCAGAGGCCCTGCTACCCAGCTGTTGAGCCTCTGTCCAGTCACCACCAGCCAGACAGGCACCAGCAAACTCACCCAAGTCTAACCCAAGTCTAACTGTTCCCAGAACCATGGGTGGCAGGTTGAGCAACCTCATACTGCCTTAGGGCTCCACTATACTTGTGGGTGCTACAGGCATAGTATCCTGGGGTGGGGAAGGTAGCTCTTCCCTGACCCTCTAAGCACCACTCAGTGCCACTGTGATGGAATGTGAGGACCAGGTCAGATCTTCACAATCCCTGCTCCACCCAACGACTGTAACCCCGTAAGAAGGCACAGGGTGCTGCAGTGATGGCCTGAAAACAGGGAGAAAGCCCTGTGAGAGCCAGGGGCAGTCATCGGGCATCAGCTGTGCTCCACTAAGGGTGTGGCCGTGGGGAGCATCCAGAAATATCCACAGGGTAGGGTGGAGAGGCAGGCTCAGCCCAGCACCCCAGGGCCAGCCCCCAAGCAACATCATCAGAGAGGAGGATGGGAGCTGGGCCCCAGGAGGGGGCACTCCTACCACAGCTGGATAGGGTTCACAGATCCAGCCCTGCAGCCTGGGACATAAGGCCTGACAGAGGCAGAAGGGTTTCAGAAGTTTTGCTGGGTTCCCCTGCCAACTGGACTTTGTGGGGAGAGAGTGGGAGGGAGGGAGGGATGGAAGGAGGAGGGAGGATGCGAGGATGTGTCCGCCATAGCCAACTCAAGGAGTCACAGGAAATTTAACCATTCGCTGTCAAGTCTTACAAAACTTGGCCTGCTCTCCAGGCAAATTATTGCAAAAAGCAATCACATGACTGGAGCCCACCAATGGCGTGCTGAGGAGATGACCTCAATTTCCAAATATTGGGGTCACATTTCATTTCCCATACTTTCCTTCTCAGTTAGGACCTTAAGCAGTGCTAACTTCACACTCCTTCACACACTCAACCAAGAAGGAGGTAGAAAAAGAGCCCAGGTCACAGAAAACTCAGACAACATCCCGAAAGGAAGCGGGGTTTGCTTCCCACACACACACCACCAGCCCCCTCCCCAACCAGCAAGTGGACGGCCACCCCTCTGGTCACACACTGAGGGTTTCAAAATGAGTCCCATCCTGGGAGGGGAGGAACAGAGTGGTTCCTGAAGCCCACCCAGAAAAGCAGTTTCTTGGTCAGTTCTTAAGTCTGTTTTGTCCAAAGCAAAATGTCTAACGACAGCTTCGACCTAGGCAGCCCCTTCCAAGCAGCCACACCCTCAGTAGGGAAGGGAGGGGGCAGCGATGGAATGAAACGGAGGGGTGGGTAGCCACAGGGCAGAGGAGGAAAGGAGCAAACAGTCTATCAGGGATGCCCTATCTGTCACCAGCGCTAAGCCCAGCTTCCTGGGTAAGGATCCCACTGAAGGCTTCCCTCCTGAGGTCCTAGGGAAAACCCACCGTGGAGCTGGACAGGGCTAAGGCTCTGGACAGCAGGGGTCCTCCTGATCCCATCCTCTCTGGGGCCTCAATAATCCTTCACCTTCAGCAGACTTCTGCAAAAACTCAGGCCAACTGGTTGAGTCATAGCAGAGCAGGCATCAGCCCAGATCATCTCTTAATCCAGGTCAGGCTCCCCTGATCTCCCATAGGCTGTGAAACTCCCTACATCCCTGCTTAACCACTGTACCCATCAGGCTGTGATGACGCCAGGAGGCAGGAAAAGAACATTTTAATTGGCCACAGAGCACAGAAAATGGCTAATCTTGCAATCAACAGCTGAGGAGAGACTGTGGCTGGGCAAGGGCTGGCTGACCAGTTGGCCTGTCCACAGCACCCACCGGCCTGTCCTGCGGGGTCTGCTCTCCCCTGTGCCAGCAAGCCACAGCCTTCACCTCACCGAATCAGCGGAAGCCAGGATGCCTTCCCGGCCTGAGCTCCGGTGTTCAGGGCTCTGGGAAAATTTTAACCCACAGCTTACCATAGAAAGTGAAGTTCCGAGGATTCCTGCAGGGACCTGGGCACCCGGAAGTGCAGGAATCCAGGCAGGGACACGGGAGCCGGCTCCTTCGCAGGGCCCACCCCGGAGGAGGTCTCCCACATCTGCAGATCATCCGAGTGCCTCTCTGCCCAGCCTGCAAGGCTCTCTCCTGGCCTTACTCCACATGCATCCCATCTTTGGGCAGCAAGCCCAAGAAAACTGCTTCCCCAAGGGTCAGGAGGTTTGGGGTCAGATTCGGAGTGAGGCTGGCCTAGGACCTCCCCAGGCTCCCCTGGGCCCCTCAGCACTTGGCAGGGACTGCAGAAAACCCTGTCCCTTAGGAAAGCAGAGAGCCAGCCTACCCAAGCTATAGAATGTGCAGTCCAAAGCTAGTGACTCCAACTTCTGGGATCCCCTCAACCCTGAGGAGCCCCTGCGGAATGGATGGGCTTTGACTCTAGGGGGCTGTCCTTCCTGGCTTTCAACTTTGTGCTGAAGGGCTGCGTGGGCAGCAGAGGGGCGCCTGTGATGTGGGACTGGGAATGTGAAGTTTGGGGACAAAAGTTGGACCACCACTCCCGCTGCTCCAACTGGAGGCGGTCCCAAGCCCGACTCCCGCGACAGCCCCACCCGGCCAACCCCTTTGAGGAGGGGGCGGTACGCCCGCGGGGATCCAGTTGGCCAGGCTCCCCTCTCCCCGGCCCTCAACCAATGCTATTCCGTGTCTCGCCCGGGGTATTCCACACTCCAAGCCGGAAAAGTTCTGCAGGCTGGGATGAGGCCAGCGGAGAAGGCGCCCGGGATGACAGCGGCGCCGGGGCCTCGCGCGCGTCCCGCAGCCCCAGGGGCCGGGTCCCCGGCGCCCCTTACCTGCGCGGCTCGGAGGCGGCGCCCACAGCAGCAGCAGCAGCAGCGGCAGGAGCAGCGGCGGGGGCAGCGGGCGGGCGCCGGGGGGCAGCGGGCTGCGCGCTTTCCAGCGGGTGTGCACGTCCATGCTGGCGGACTGCGCGGGCCGGGGCGCGCGCGGGGGGCGCACGCGATGCACGGGGACCGGGGACACAGCGGGGGTCGCAGCGGCTTCAGGGAGTCATAGGCAGCCGGCCCGAGGTCTCCCGCGGCGGTGGCTGTCCTGGAAGGGGGGCGGCCGGCGCGCTCGCCCACGGCGGGAGGGTCACCCGTGGCCGGACCCCTCTCGCTGGCTGCTCGCGCGCGCCCTGTCCTCCTCCGAGCCCTGTGGCCTCCGCCTCGCCGCCGCCCCGCGACCCGCTCCCCGTGGGCGCTCTGCTGGAGTGAGGTCCTGCGCCAGCCGCGGGGACGAGGAGTGCGGACCTCGCCTCCGGCGCCCTGCACTTTTTCCCCCCTTTCCCTCCCTCCCCGGCTGCGGGCAGACTCCGAGGAGGCTGTCGATCCCCAAAGCCCGCAGCAAATCAGAGCCCGGCGCCGGGCTCCAAGAGGCCGGCCCCAGCCTCCCACTGGGCGCCGCGGGCGAGGGGGTGGGGACAGCGGGCGAGTCCCGGCGAGGAAGGGGCTGGCCCGGGGCGGGAGCGGACGTGGGACGGGGGCGGCGCCCCTGTTCTTTCTCCCCGCTCTGGGCGGCGGCCTCTGCAACCCGGCGGCCCACCCTGGGCTCGAGCCTTCCCGCCCCAGGTGCCCCCCACCTGGCCGGGCTCCAAGAACCAGTGCGGGGGGCCCCAAAGTGTGATGACTTGAGTTTAAAAAGAGATCGCAGCTACCGGGCCTGACTTTCTCTTTAAGGAGGATCCCATGCTCCTCTTCTGGGAGGGGACTAAACTTCCAACTCAGCCCGATGGGGCGCCCAACACTGTGGCCGCCCTAGAGCTGGGGACCTGCCTTCCACCTCACTCCCAACTACAGACCGGCGCAGATGCCCACTTGGGGTTCATCTTCCTAAGAAGACCCCAGATAGACGTGGGGCATTGGAGTTGCCAATCAGGCGAATTTGGACATCAAATGCCCTCACCCTCTCCCTGCCCCTGCTGGTCCCCACGACCCTGCCTCACAGAAGGAGAAGGAAACCAAGGGGAAAGGCCCTTCCAGAGTTGATAGCTGGGAAAGAGAGGCTCCGGGGGCTCCCTCTGCGGGAGTCCTGCAGCTTCAGAGGCAGAAGTCGCTCCCAGACTTCTCCCAGGAGGCCTGCTGAAGCCTGACTCACAGCCCTGCCCTTCTCCAAAGGCTGCAGGGCTTGTTTAGAAAGAAGGCATCAGAGTGAATGAAGGTTTTCAGACTCCCAGCCTTGGTGGCCTTTGAACACACAGCAGCCTGCAACGATCCTGGGATGGGGAGGAAGCTGGAACTCTCCTCTCCTGTTAACATCTGCAGACTGATGTGAAATTCCTCGAATGCCCCTAATCCTCACCATCCTGTAACCAGGGGGACAGAAGCAGTCAGGGGACCGCCACTCAGGAGGCAGAGGCAGTCAGGGGCAGAGACAGTCAGGAGGCAGAGGCAGTCAGGGGGCAGAGACAGTCAAGGGGCAGAGACAGTCAGGGGGCAGAGACAGCCAGGAGGCAGAGGCAGTCAGGGGGCAGAGACAGTCAAGGGGCAGAGACAGTCAGGGGGCAGAGACAGCCAGGAGGCAGAGGCAGTCAGGGGGCAGAGACAGTCAAGGGGCAGAGACAGTCAGGGGGCAGAGACAGCCAGGAGGCAGAGGCAGTCAGGGGGCAGAGACAGCCAGGAGGCAGAGGCAGTCAGGGGGCAGAGACAGCCAGGAGGCAGAGGCAGTCAGGGGGCAGAGACAGCCAGGAGGCAGAGGCAGTCAGGGGGCAGAGACAGCCAGGAGGCAGAGGCAGTCAGGGGGCAGAGACAGCCAGGAGGCAGAGGCAGTCAGGGGGCAGAGACAGCCAGGAGGCAGAGGCAGTCAGGGGGCAGAGACAGCCAGGAGGCAGAGGCAGTCAGGGGGCAGAGACAGCCAGGAGGCAGAGGCAGTCAGGGGGCAGAGACAGCCAGGAGGCAGAGGCAGCCAGGGGGCAGAGGCAGTTGGGGGGCAGAGGCAGTTGGGGGGCAGAGGCAGTTGGGGGGCATTGTTGGGTTGGGTGAGCTCTGACTCTTGAATGTGAAAGTAGGTGGCTGTCAATGATGTAAACTAAGCTTCATGTGTACACCTGTGGCACATACCACGTGGCAGGCATCACACAATGCGCAGAAGAAAGTAGAAGTGTTGGTGATGCAGCCCAGTGGCACAGCCCTTGCCCCACATGTACAAGAAGGCCTGAGTTCACACTCAGCAGAGGAGGAGGAGGAGGAGGAGGAGAGAGAGAGAGAGAGAGAGAGTAAATAATAATCATCAGCTTGTACAAATCATAGAGATGTGTACTGGATACCTTCAGTGTCAACTTAACACACCTGGGTTGAGGGAGCCTCAGTTGGGGAATTGCC